AAAAAAAAAAAAAAAAAAGGTATCCCACTCTTCTTTCTTCTTTATTCTAATAGCTCACTGGGTAGGGCTGGTTTTTCAGCTACTTACTTTTTCATATATTAGATTTCCTCTGAATGTTTTAATCTGCAACTTTTATATGCATATATGTGTGTACATATAATGTTTCAAATCATGTTTCATTCTGAAGGGTGCTAACGTACTTTAGCCTGATAGACATACTTCCAATAAGGACTACTGTGACCCACAGCAGCACCAGACAGTTAAAGAAAGGAAGTGAAGGGACTGATTTACGCAAGTAAAGCTTCAGGGAGAATATAGGTAGGTAGACTATATAGTATCTGCTGAAGTTCAAGTTTTACTGGCATCTGCTATTTAGCCCAAGGCTTCTAAAAAATACTAAGCTACGGTGCCCATAGCTCAGAGGGTAGGGCACTGGCCACATACACCAGGGCTGGCAGGTTTGAACCCGGCCTAGGCCTGCTAAATAACAATAACAACTTCAACAAAAAAAAATAGCAGGGTGGGTGGCACCTGTGGCTCAGTGGGTAGGGTGCTGGCCCCATATACTGAGGGTGATGGGTTTAAACCTGGCCCCAGCAAAACTGCAACAAAAAAATAGCTAGGTGTTGTGGCAGGCACCTGTAGTCCCAGCTACTTGGAAGGCTGAGGCAGGAGAGTTCCCTAGGCCCAGGAGTTGGAGGTTGCTGTGAACTGTGTGATGCCATGGCACTCTACCAAGGGCAATAGAGTGAGATTTTGTCTCTACAAAAAAAAATAGCAGAGCATTGTGTTGGTGCCTGTAGTCCCAGCTTCTTTGGAGGCTGAGGCAAGAGAATCACTTAAGCCTAAGAATTTGAGGTTGGTGTGAGATGTGACGCCACAGCACTCTACAGAGGGTGGCATAGTGAGACTCTCAAAAAAAAAAAAAAAACTAAGCTTACTTTAATAAGAATGTTATGTCAGGAAGGTATCTCATCATTATTAAGGTTATTCCTTGAGTATTGATTTGATAGTTACTTGTACATGCATATAAAGGAATGACACATGTCACTACAACCTTTTTCTGAAATATCTGGATCAGTGCTGTTCAATAGGTATAATTCAAGTCACAATATATGCAACTGTTGTTTTTTTTCTTTGAGATTCTCACTATGTTGCCCATGGTAGAGTGCTATGGTGTCACAGCTCACAGCAACCTCAAACATTTGGGCGTAAGCAATTCTCTTGCCTCAGCCTCCCAAGTAGCTGGGACTACAGGCGCCCAGCACAGTGCCCAGCTATTTTTTTGTTGCAGTTGTCATTGTTGTTTAAAAGGCCCAGGCTGGGCTTGAATCCGTCTGCCTTGGTGTATGTGGCCAGCACTCTACTTACTGAGCTATGGGCACCAAGCAACTTAAAATTTTCTAGTAGCCATATAAAAAAGTAAAATGAAATTAATTTTTATTGTATTTTATTTATAATTTTTATATTTTATTTACCTAAAATATTTAAAGTATTATTTTAATGTATAATCAATATAACACTTATTAATGAGACATTACATTTTTTTTTTTTAGATTTCCTAGTTCTGAAATCTAGCATGTATAGTATACTTTCAGCACAGCACTAGCCACATTGCTAATGGTCATCAGCCACATCTGGCATCTAGACATTGTCATCTGTAGTACATGGGTGTGAGTAGTGACCTTTGGAGTCATATATAATTGGGTATGAATTTCTACCTCACTGTTTGCCAGCTATGTGGTTTGGGATAATCTTTTAGCTTTAGCTTTTCTGAGCTTTGGTTTCCTAATATGTAAGTGGTAACATAGAATATAATATAAAACATAAATATTTAAAAATATAAAACCCAACACAATAGGCTACCAACAAGTGGTAGCTGTTATCAATCTTATAAAATATTTATAAGCTAAAGAGATCACAGACCAGAGTGGTCACAGCAAAAGTGCCTATGGAATGAAATTTTAAAATCCTGTGAAAGCAAGACTTTTTCTACTCTTTTTTACATGTCTGTTCATACTTTGCCAAGCTATTGATGCCTTCATATGTTACATGGTTTTTTTCTTTTTTTTGAGACGGAGTCTTGCTCTGTTGCCTTGGCTAGAATGCCATGGCCTAAGCCTAGCTCTGAACAATCTCAAGCTTCTGGGCTCAAGCCATCCTCCTTCTTTAGTCTCCTGGAATAGCTGAGACTAGAAGCATATACCACCATGCCCAGCTAATTTTTCTATTTTTAGTAGAGATGGGGTCTTGCTCTTGTTCAGCTTGAACTTGTGACCTAAAGTGGGCCTCCTGCCTCAGAATCCTTGGGATTACAGGTGTGAGTTATTGTGCCCAGCCAAGTACCAAAATTTTTAATTTTTGAACTGTTTTCAATCTACACATAAAACTTGTGCTGCAAATGTAGTAAAGTCTCTCAACAAATACGTGAGTCAGTGGTGATATCATCACTTAGTGATTTGAGTTTTTGGTATGACCAGGACTTATATGCAAATGATCAGAAAGGCTTATCTCTCTATTTTCCAGGATCTTGTAAGATTCCTATTTAAAAATAGGATTCCATTTATTGTCCATGTTTATTCCAACTCTTTGTATTCTCTATTTGAAAAGTTCCAATCATGTGCCTCTTTAGTTTTTTTTTTTTGAGACGGAGCCTCAAGCTATCCCCCTGGGTAGAGTACCTGCTGGCATCACAGCTCACAGCAACCTCCAGCTCCTGGGCTCAAGCAAGTCTCCTGCCTCAGCCTCCCAGGTAGCTGGGACTACAGGCGCCCGCCACAATGCCCAGCCATTTTTTTGGTTGCAGCCATCATTGTTGTTTGGCGGGCCCGGGCTGTGGATTCAAACCCACCACCTTAGGTGTATGTGGCTGGCGCCTTAGCCACTTGAGCCACAGGTGCCGAGCCATCTCTTGAGTTTTAAAATATTTTAGGTTTCTTGCCTTTAAAAAGTTAAAATTGTGTTTTTAATTTTACTAGTAAGGTCATTTTTATTTGTTATTTTTTGATCCAGTATTAATAATCTAGTTATTATCTCCAACCTAGTAATCTTATTAAATAAATTCCATGCAGTCACAAAAATTTCTAGAATATACATTTATCTTGTTATTTTATTAACTACTTTCCCAAGCATGCATCTTAGCCTCTAAAATGCTTTAAAAAATGCATACCAAATGTTAAAAGCCACATCTTAAAGTAATATGTTGAATAACCATAGTCACTTTAGCAAAAAATTCAACAAAATAGTGATATGTATTTTTTTAATCTGGAAATTTAGAATTTTCCTTCTTTGTGACACAGACTTTTTAACAAATCTCTACAGGCCAGTGACATATCAGACATTTCGGGAATGTATGTTGGAAACCACAGTTTATGCCAGCGGCTGGAATAAGGTATTAATCAAATTCTCTTTTCTGTTATAAGATTTTAGTGTGTTAGTTATAAAATTTAGAAAGAATTGCTAGTATCATGCAGCAGAAAACTGTCAGAGCTCAGTATTTAGTGCATAAATCTTACTGTGTTAAGTGAAATTTTTTTTTGGTTAAGCCAGTCTTTTAATTAATGCTGTAAGGTTCTGCTAGGCTCAAAAATATGTGGGCAATACCACAGTATATCATCCTTTCTTCCTATCTGTCCTGAATTTCCCATCATTTCTTATTTGCAGTTGGTTACTGTTAACATGCAAGTATGTCTTGGGGGGAAATAATAACGACTTCATTTGGAGGACAGCTTCCTCTGGTTCTCTTAGATGAATCATACTGTTTGTGTTTTCTAGATAACACAATATCTCATGTCGCATCTCATTTGATCATCCCAACCATCTATCCTTTGCAGAAGGCAGAATGGATTTTGTTAGGTTTTGTTCTGTGGCTTAGTTAGATTGGTGACTAATCAGAAAGAAAAGTTAAGTGACTTGCCTAGAACCCCTTGGCTAGTAAATATTGGAACCAACACTAAAGCTAAGATGTTCTGATTCTAGCCTTAGTATTTTTTCTACTGTACCATACTGCTTATTTATTATCCTCTATTATCTACTTATCACCTTGAAGAGGTAGAGTCTAAGGGAATATAGTATTGTGTGGCTGAGCTCATTAATCAAGAAGTATGGCCCTGAGTGTTAGGGATGAGAAAAGACAATAAAATTACTTTTACAAGTAGCCTTCTCTACCCAGGATCATTGTAACGGGGGTCAGTTCATGTGACCTTATCTACCTAATTGATGTATATAATTATAAATATATACATTTATAAACTTATAAGTATATAAATGTATATATAAAATATTTATATTAATAACATAAAATATATATTTCAAGTCAGCTTTGCTGACTAGATGTATGTTTTTGGGCAGATTAAGTTCTCTTAAGTCTTAAGTTTTCTCATTTTTGAAAACTTGGAAAATATTACTATGGAAAATAGTATTAACTTCCCATTAAAATAGTATTAACCTCCTCATTTTTATTAGAATTAAATGGATAATATATATTACATACTTATTTAATATGTCATCTGCCACTATAGTAAGCATTTAGTAAACAGCAGCTGTATACTATTAGCTTAAACATGTAACATCTTGTTTCAAAAGTCATTATGGAGTTTTAGTATATACTTATTAGTATATAATTTGTTAAAATTGCCTCATTTGCTTCTGTGGGAAAAAAGAAAATACTCTCATATGGACATTTGAAATAGATTTTATAAATAAAAAATGAGTTTGGTTATAATATATTTCTTAATACATCAAACATCAAATATTTAGGTACCTAATATATTACTAGCTGTGCTCCCTGTTTTATGTTCGCTTCCTGTCAAGTGACTATTAAGTCAACCCTTGTATGCAAACCCCATCTTAGGGTTATACTTAAAAAAACGAGTAAACTGCAATCTTTACTGTCTCTTTCACCCTCTCCCTCATTTCCTCTTTCATTTTAGTTCCTTGTCTGAATCAGAGAGCCATCTGTTGACCTTCAAGGCACTGGCTTGAATACCTTATATAAATGAGGCATGCCACTTAGAATATTACTTGCTCTGCTGAATCCAATGTTACTTTCCTTCCAAGTCCTCAAGGGCTGAAAAGATTGTGACAAATTACTAAAATTTCCACACCCCTACCACCACAATCAAAATCAGATTGGCTAATTTGAAGCAATTAGCTCATATTTTACATTTTGGGTGAATGTTTGCAAAATTCCAATATGATATTCATATGTATCTTGCTGTCAGTAAATGAAGCTCAAATGAAACAGCCATCAGAGAAAGAAATGAAAGAAAGTTCATAATGCATGCCAGATTTGAGGCAAACTGATTATCAGTACTAGTAAAGGGATATTAAAGGCAGCTGGGTAAATGCTCTTTTTTTGTTTTGATTTTTTGTGACAGAGTCTGCTCTGTTACCCTGGGTAGAGTGCAATGACATCACTATAGTTCACTGCAACCTCAAACTCCTGGGCTAAAGGGATCCTCCTACCTCACCCTCCCCAGTAACTGGGACTACAGGTGTGGGTCACTGCACCCAGCTAATTCTATTTTTAATAGAGATGGGGGTCTCACTCTTATGCAGGTGAGTCTCAAACTTCTGAGCTTAAGGAGTCCTTATCAAAGCCTCCTAGAGTTGCTAGGATTACAATGATGAGCCACTACATCCAGCCCTAGAATGTTCTTGATATACATCCTAAAAAGTGTTGAAAAAAAGATGGTCACATTAACAGTATAATCTTTTTGTTAAAATATTGCACATGGATAAATGTAGAATATATAGAATATGCATGCTTAGAAAAAAATTGAAATGATGTGTGCCAAAATACATAGTAATAGTCAGGTAAGGTGTATCTTTCCTGTAATCCAGGTACTTTGTGAGGCTGAGACAGGAGCATCACTTGAGGCCAGGAGTCCAGACTGGCCTAGGCAATAGCAAGACCCCATCTCTACAGAAAAAACAAAGCAAAAAAAACCCAAAAAAACTTCTGGGCATGGTGGCACACACCTGTAGTCCCAATTACTCAGGAGGCCATGGCAGGATTACTGGAGCCCAGGAGTTTGAGGTTGCTGTGAGCTATGATGACATCCCTATACTCCAAAAATAATAATAATAATGATAATAAAAGTACAAAATACATAGTAGCTATCTCAGAATTGTAAGTGAGTTTTTTCCCCCCTCATGGATGTTATTTTTAACTATGTGCTTATCTGTTTAGAGAAAAAAAAAATAGAAAGTGACCATCAAAGAGAAAAAAACAGCTAGATGGCTCATGACTATAATCTAGCACTCTGGGAGGCAGAGGCGGGTGGATTGACTGAGCTCAGGAGTTTGAGACTAGCCTGAGCCAGAGCAAGACCTCGTCTCTTAAAAAAATAGCCAGGTGTTTGGTGGCCTCCTGTAGTCCCAGCTACTTGGGAGGCTGAGGTAAGAGAATTACATAACCCCAAGAGTTTGAGGTTGCTGTGAGCTATGACGCCATGGCACTATACCAGAGGGCAATATAGTGAGACTCTGTCTCAAAACAAACAATAACAACAACAAAAAAACCCCAGCTAGAATGGCAGTTTTGCTGCATAACTGTTTATAGTGTAATAGATAAACTTTAGAAACATAAATGGCAAAGATAAATTAATTCTTTTCCTTGGTTAATTTAAAAATTTTTTTGCTGGGTGGCACCAGTGGCTCAGTGAGTGGGGCACTAGGCCCATATACTGAGGGTGGTGGGTTTGAACCCAGCCCCAGCCAAACTGCAGCAAAAAAGTAGCCAGGCATTGTGGCAGACGCCTGTAGTCCCAGCTACTCGGGAGGCTGAAGCAAGAGAATTGCCTAAGCCCAGGAGTTGGAGGTTGCTGTGAGCTGTGACGCCACAGCACTCTACTGAGGGTGACAAAGTGAGACTCTGTCTCTAAAAAAAAACAAAAAACCTTTTTTGCTTTAAGGAGCAAAAGGCTTTATTGTTAAGTATGCAGATATATCTGTACGCAGGGACCTGCTGTGGGGACCATGAGCAGACTACAGACCCCCACCGCCTGAGTGGGCCAGGAGATAGTCCTGGGAAGACCTCATGCATTGATTTTTCTTGTAATATTAAATATCTAATATTTTCTTTTCTTTTCTTTTCTTTTCTTTTTTTTTTTGAGACAGAGTCTTACTATGTTGCCCTTGGTGGAGTACTGTGGTGTCACAGATCATAGCAGCCTCAAACACATGGGCTTAAGTGATTCTCTTGCCTCAGCCTCCCAAGTAGCTGGGACTATAGGTGCCTGCCACAATGCCTGGCTATTTTTTGGTTATAGTTGTCATTGCTGTTTGGCAGACCAGGGATTCGAACCTACCAGCTCTGGTGTATGTGGCTGGTGCCTTAGCTGCTTGAGCTACAGGTGCTGAGCCTCAAGTCTCTTATTATTAAAATTTCAAGCATATACAAAAGCAGAGAGAATAGTATAACAAACCCTATATATCCATTACTCAACTTCAGTAATTATCAATATTTGGCTGATCTTGTTTCATCTGTTTCCTCACATATTCCTACTGTCCTCCCAGATTATTTTGAAGCAGATATTAGACATATTTTATTCATAAATATATTTCCAAGAATATTGTATCCTTTTTATTTTTTATTTTTATTTTT